GGGGGGGGGGGAGGAAACCAGATAACCAGGAAAAAACCTCGAACCAATGGAGGCTACGCTTCGTTAGTACATAACATTTTGAATAACCATAATTAATAAAGAGTTCAATAGTCCCCTTCACAGTTCCCTGCGCCATCTTGAAAGGTAGCCGTGCCTTTGCATTGAAGCGAGTCGAAGCGAGTCGAGACATGTGAATAATTGTCCAAGGTGTTAAAAAAGGTTTCTATCATTGCAAGGTCATCGTTCGTCTCGCTTCGATACAAAGGCACGGCTACCTTTCAAGATGGCGCATTGAACCGTGAAGGGGACTATTGTTACTTCACAAATGTTCATGCAATAAATAAAGAAATATATTTGTCTACTCACTGGTTGGTCGACCTGAGCTTGATGTCCTAGGCATAGTAGCAGTGCCAGGACCACGCGGTCCAGGGCTCGGAGCATGGGTGCGAGGAAGTGACATACTTGTGGTTTGAACCGCTGTACGGACATATTGAGGCTCATTTTGTACTGAACCCTGAGAAGGGGTTCGCGGACCTAAAAGTTTCGAAAGGTAAGAGTTGAGACAAGGATATATTGTGGTTAGGGACTCCGTAGTCAACTAGTCACATGGGTGTGGGTACTTGGATGTTGTGGTGATGGGAAATACTTCAAATTTTATGATACCCTGAAACAACCTGTGTGGTCGAGTTGGAATAGATCTCCTCGGCTAGGGGGTAATGTTTGCCCATTTCAGACCAAGTGTCATTCCCTAGAGTATCATTTCTTTGTTTAACGGTCACGCATGGAAGACACATGAATATGGATACAACTCAAACAAAGAATATTATACTTAAAGCCCGAGCCAAAGAGGTCTATTGAGATTGTGGAGGTAGAGAGGAAAAACAGAGAAAAACTTTGGAATCAAGGGAGAGACCTAACAAACTCTACTCAATTGTGATGGCGGGTCCAGGAATCAAACCCGAGACCCCAGAGATGAGAGGAGTATACTACTTTTACACTACCCTAAATTCTCAACAGGTAAAGCAAAGTTATCTACTTACCTGCCGACGGCGTAGCGTAACTATCAGACATATACCCGGATGGACCATTTGTAGCAGGGGTACGTATTCCCTCGTCTGCTGACGAATATCCGCCCCGTGCCCCGTACCCACGGGGTGATCTGTAATCATCCACTGACGACTGCGAACCAGAACTTTTTCTAGGTGTTGATGGTCCATCGCCGTTAACTGTTTTACCATATCCGTAGCGTTCAATACGCATGCGTTCTGTGCCGGGATCGTATTGGTCTTCTATGATTTGGCCATCTACGGTTCGAACTGTGCGAACCTCGGTTCTCGTGACTACTTTCTTGACTGTTTGACCCGCATGGCTTCCAGGCGTTAAATCTACAATTATAACAAACATTAGGGACTGTTACAGCCATTCTCAATCACACGTGCGATTGTTTCTGTCCCGACGAAGAAGGTTTTGGTGGACGTCAATCACAAGGCGTTTCCATAACCGTGTCGGAAAACACAARGCTATAAGGGCACGTGCCTATAGAATGTCATGGAAACGCCTTGATTGACGTCCACCAAAAGCTTTTTCGTCGCGACAGAAACAATCGCAAAAGCGGCGCGTGTGGTCAAGAATGGCTATAATTTTTTACGGGCACGGGAGGGGGGTGGGGAGTGGTGGGATTTTATGCCGACTGCAAGTGAAAAAAATATGACTCATTCCCAACCGGTTTTTCTTTTACTTGGCCCTCTATTATCCCCTATTAAGACAGGATATTTTTTGAAATAAATATTATGTTTGAAATGTGGTTCTACTTAAGGGTTTCAAAGGGTTTTTTTCCACACATACAAAATTATAAGTTTTAATCTAGACATTCAGTAAAAAAAAGTCGAAAGGTACAGAAATTACAACCCAAAGGGGTTAATAAGAAGATTCTACACCTAAACTTAACATTAAGGTTTTAGAGTGGAGAATGATATTACCTGCATCCATCAACTCTTTTTCCCAGTCAGGACTTACGAGTGTATTTGACTGCCCTGTGACGTTAGTCGGTTCCATTCTACTATTTTTAGAGTACAAAGGATCTTGGTCGTCCCTGTTCAACAACAACAACAACAAAGCATTAAGCTCATCCTATGCAAGTCAATAATATATACGCGCAGATCATTATTTGTCTTTACCTTGCTAGCTTATTCCATCATTGATTAATGTCAGTGCAAAGCTAAATATCTCGGAATTTGGCGTGTTGAGTTTAGCGAATTTGTGGGAGCGACCACAAATTAGAAAGAAAGAAAGAAAGAAAGAAAGAAAGAAAGAAAGA